AACTCCTGAACCAACCACAACAACTACAACTCCATCTCCACCACCCACTACAACTCCTGAACCAACCACAACAACTACAACTCCATCTCCACCACCCACTACAACTCCTGAGCCAACCACAACAACTACAACTCCATCTCCACCACCCACTACAACTCCTGAGCCAACCACAACAACTACAACTCCATCTCCACCATCCACTACAACTCCTGAGCCAACCACAACAACTACAACTCCATCTCCACCATCCACTACAACTCCTGAGCCAACCACAACAACTACAACTCCATCTCCACCATCCACTACAACTCCTGAACCAACCACAACTATGGCAACTACAACTCCATCTCCACCATCCACTACAACTCCTGGACCAACCACAACAACTACAACTCCATCTCCACCATCCACTACAACTACTGAGCCAACCACAACAACTACAACTCCATCTCCACCATCCACTACAACTACTGAGCCAACCACAACAACTACAACTCCATCTCCACCATCCACTACAACTACTGAGCCAACAACAACTATAACTCCATCTCCACCATCCACTACAACTCCTGAGCCAACCACAACCACAACAACTACAACTCCATCTCCACCATCCACTACAACTCCTGAGCCACTAACCACAACAACTCCATCTCCCNCACTACAACTCCTGAGCCAACCACAACCACAACAACTACAACTCCATCTCCATCATCCACTACAACCTCAGAACCAACTACAACTCCTTGCTTCTGTATTTTTGATGGCAAACAATATCAGCCAGGTAAAAGATAAAAAGTCCTGAAAAAATAATGTAAAGTTTCTAATTGTTGCTCTTCTGGTTTACTGTCTCAAATTTAAAACTAATTTGTTTTTTTGTCCTACTTTTAGGGCAGACAATATTTGAGTCACATCATATTGGATCAGGCATTTGTCTTACAATGATATGTTCTGATATTTGTGAAATCCGCAACAAGACTGAACTGTGTCCCTCAACCACAAGTACACCCACACCTACACCTACACCCACAACACGTATACCTGATTGTCCTGATTGGGATGCTGTGGTAAGTTTAAGTTTTTAATTGTTTCCTGCGTACTAAAACTTTTTATAAAAAAACTATTTTTATTTTTATTTTAACAATTTTGCAATTTATGTTCTTGAATTCCATTTTTACCCCAAAGCAAAATGAGACCTTTTGGTTGTGTGAGTGCTATATGGCCAGATGTATCGAGGACAATATCATTGAAGTATTTCCGATTGTGTGTCCAACTCCGGAGATCATAACTTGTGCCAATGGAAAGACACCAGTTCTTGTGTATGATGAACAGCTCTGCTGCCAACATTATGCATGTGACTGTAAGTTGTGCTTTTTTCAATAACTGTGAATCTTTTCTTTTAATTGTACTTGACATTGAATTATTCTTATTTTTCTAGGTGAGTGTGAAGGATGGGGAGATCCTCATTACATCACATTTGATGGATTATACTATAGTTATCAAGGAAACTGTACCTATGTTTTGATGGAGGAGATCACACCAAAACATAATTTAAAGATTTACATTGACAACGTCTTTTGTGATCCCACTGAAGATGTTTCTTGTCCACGATCACTAACTATAGCATATGGAATGCATGTTGTAACACTTATTAATCATAATCTTATTGGAGCTCCAGACCTGGAGGTAAATCTTGACATCCATCTACTCAATTCTTCGTCATACACTGTATTCTAAAAAATGTGCCAAAATTAAACAAATTCAGTATGTCTCATTACAATGATAATAATTTATCTTTTTGCATTGGCATTTTTTTCAATTTATAAAAATGTTTTATTTCTCACTCTAGGTTGTGAAAAATGGAAAAACATTAAAACTACCTTATACACAAAACGGTGTAAAGATAATCAGTTCTGGCATAAACCTGGTTTTTGAGATTCCTCTTCTCAACGTGGTCATTAAATTTGGAATGACAGGCTTCAGTGTTTTCCTTCCATATCAGCACTTTGGCAAAAACACACAGGGTCATTGTGGTAAGAAATGTATCTCCCACATGTCTTTAAGATGATAAATCTTGAATATGGAAAAAGAAGGTAATTGTTTAATACTACTTTAGGGACATGCAACAACAACCAGGCTGATGACTGCAAGCTTCCAACTGGTCAGCTGGTGCAAAGCTGTGCAGTGATGGCTGACTATTGGCCAGCAAATGACATTTACCAACCCAACTGCCCAACGCCACCTGCAGTACCCACCAATAAACCTGAACCTCCAGTGGAACCAACTCCATGCAAACCAGACTCCATCTGTGAACTGCTAAAGAGCAGGTAGCATCCGCTTTTCCTCTGATTGAGTTCATATTTCTTTAAAAAGTCTTTACTTACTGCAAGTAAAACCGTCACTTCATTTTTGTTTGCCCTTTTCAGTGTCTTTTCTGAATGCCATCCACTGGTTTCTCCAGACAACTTCTACAGAGGTTGTGTTTTTGATAGTTGCCATGTTTCCAACCCAGTTGTGGAGTGCACAAGTTTGCAGACATATGCTGCAGTTTGTGCTGAGGTTGGAGTTTGCATCTACTGGAGGAACCACACCAAACTGTGTGGTAAGCTCCTCTCAGTATTTTAATGTTAATAAAGGGGTTGTATGAATCAAGAGGAATATATATATATATATTTTTAACATTGTTGCACCTAATTTAATTGCACTGAACAGATAGAGTATGAATTAAAAAAAGTTTATTTTTTTTCATCAACAGCTGGTGACTGCCCATCAGATAAAATTTACAAGCCTTGTGGTCCAGTAGAACAGCCAACCTGTGAAGACAAGTATGTTTCCACAAAAACATTATTATATAGCTTCTTAATGATAGTGATCATCAAGAATAATACAGAAATAATAAAACAAAAACTACTGGAAGTTTCATTTGAACAAATACAGTAAATACTCTAATTTTAACAATTGGATCAAATTTAAAATATAACGTATGAAAAATGTAGTCAAATTTTTTTTTCATAAGTTGGCATAAGTTGTCTAACACATTCTAGTGTGACAGGCCTTTACTGAGCATTTCCTAATAACAGATAGTGGCAATGAATATGTGGTTATGTGGTTGATTTTTAACTGTAAATACACTGTTTTGTATTTTACCTCAACAGTCCCAATGAACCAACTACAAACATCACCACTGAAGGCTGCTTCTGTCCTGAGGGAATGAAACTTTTTAATAAAGAGTCCGGGATATGTGTTGAAAAATGTGGTAAGTGTGGTGTACACCCTGAATGGGTACGACTGATCTGAATGTATTGATTTTATGGTTTACAAAGTCCAACAGGATTGTTGTTTGTTTTCTAAAAGGATGTCTTGATCCTGAGGGCATTCCTCGAGAGGTGAGCTAGAAGTCTTCAAACCTTAACCATCACTGTTTGCCTGTATAAGACAATAAATTTACCTGTGTGGTTTACTCTCTCAGTTTAATGAAAGGTTTGAGTACAAATGCCAGGACTGCATCTGTGACGAACCTACCAAAACTGTGGTTTGCGAGCCTAAGAAATGCCAGACGCCACCCAGTGCCAACTGCTCTGCTCCAGGGTTTGTTGTCGTGAATCAAACAAATCCTGAGGACCCCTGCTGTTTTGTCTTTGTTTGCCGTAAGATGTGTACTATCATTGTGTTTTAAAAACATGTATTAGCGGCTGTTTGTTGTAGAAATTTACGAATGCATTCATCTCCTCAGAATGCCAAATCAACACCTGCCCGAATAACAACATGAACTGTCCGGTTGGATACAAGCCAGTTGTCAGTGTTCCTGAAGGAAAATGTTGCCCAGAGCACACATGTGGTGAGTGCTTTGGCACTGTTTGAATTTAAACTTAACAAACCAAAACAAATTATTTCACGCAGTTTCCCTTATCTTTGTTTACGGTATGCACTTTTCCAGAACCTAAACGTGTTTGTGTCCACAAAAATGTTGAATACCAGGTAAACGAGGAACATTTATTTATATCACGTTTGATAATTCCTTGCTGAACATGGTTCTGTATTGTCTGACCAAAATCCCAAACACTAACTCAATTCCCATTTTCTTTGTTTAGCCCGGTTCTACAGTTCCTGCATATGAATGTCAGGATTGTACCTGCAGCAACCAGGTTGACACAAATTCTGGTCTGTTCAAAGTAACCTGCGTGTTTCCACCATGTGAAGAAAAGTGTGACATGGTATAAAAAAGTTTACATATATGTATCCAACATTGCATCTTGTTTTAGTGTGATAAACGTAAGAGTTAAACTTTCTCTCTCTCAGGGTTATGAATACGTGGAAACAAGCCTTGACAAGTGCTGTGGGAAGTGTGTACAGAAACAATGTGTCCTGGATCTAAATGGTACCAAGTTGCTCTTAAATGTAAGTTGTGTTGTCTCTAAATCCAATAATGTAAAACTAATGAAAGCACCATACGTAAAACTTTTAGCTTTTATTTGCTGTTGCTTGTGTGCCTGTGAGTGTCTGTTTTAACATCCTTCTTCCTTGCTCTTCAGAGCGGAGAAACCTGGTCTCCACCTGAAAACATGTGTAAACATTACACTTGTATTAAGAGTGGTGAGAGTTTTTCAATCTACAGTTCACACATTGTTTGCCCACCATTCCAACAAGACAACTGCCTGCCTGTAAGTATAGCTTTTATGGAAAAATCTGAAATAGTTGTGTTTACAGGAAAACAACAGCAGATATTTTTTTCTTGTTTAGGACACAATTCAAACTGAAGCAAATGGCTGCTGTAAAACATGTGAGTGGGATATTTGCATTTCAGTTGCATGAATGATATACAAAGAAAAATAAGGTAATAAGAAGTATTTTTTGCACAGGCGTACAGAAAGAGAAGGCCTGCAAGATAAGGTCTATGAAAACCTATGTTAACCACCACGGCTGTCAGTCTGAGCAGGAGGTGGAAATGCCGTACTGTGAGGGATCATGCAACACTTTCACCAAGTAAGAACGATACGAGCTGTACTTACCACTTTACAGGAAGTCACGAAACGCCACAGGTGTCAGCTGACATAGACATGCATTAAGAGCTGCTCCTGTTTTCCTCAGGTACTCGGAAGCAGCGGCTGCGATGGAGCAGTCCTGCTCCTGCTGTAAGGAAACAAAATTCAGCAATCGTACCGTTAAGCTGCTGTGCCTAAACGGGGACAGCATCTCCCACACCTACATGCATGTGGAGGAGTGCGGCTGTGGCAACACCGAGTGCACCAGACCTGCTGCACATGCTGCTCGCCGAAAGCGAAGCTTCACACTGCTGTGATAGATTCATTTGTCCTCATGTTATCAGATGTTCAAAGTGTCTCTCACACTATTCTAATAATCTGAGTAATTTCTGTTAAACTGAGTATTTATCAACTGATCAAATAAAAAGCTGCAACTCAGTTCGTATCACTGGTATTTTCTAATGTCTTGGATGTGTCAACCCTTTGTAGTATGAAAATCTAATTAACAATATAAATAAATTGAATATTAGAAATAAGTTGCTACCATTGCTTTTGGTGAAGTACTAAAGGGTAAAAACAGTTTTAGAGAAACGTTCAGGGTAATTCATATTTAACAAAATAGTTTCACTTTGAACGGTCACAAGTTCAGGTAAAATGTTTTTAAGTCCATGTCACCTAAAAGCAATTCAAATAAGGACAGAAAAAGAGCAAAAAGTAAAGCAGGATTAATTCTGTAGTGTTTCGGGTAATATTACCTGCTCATGTTCAGCCACATGCTTCAGAAGTCATTGGACGGTGCTTCACAGTTCAGATGGACAATGATCCTAATAATACTGTGAAAGCAACCACAGTTTTCTAAAGCAAAGAAGTGAAATGTTATGCAATGGCCATCTCAATCACCTGACCTGAATCTGACTGAGCATTTCACTTGCTGAAGACGAAACTGAAGGGAAAATGCCACAAGAACAAGCAGGAAGTGAAGATAGATTTAGCGATGTAGAGGCCTGGCAGAGCATCACCAAAGATGCATTCCAAACTTCAGGTTGTAACTGACTGCAGAGGATTTGCAACCAAGTAATAAAAAGTTTGATTTATGATTGGTAATTTGTCCCATTACTTTTGGTCCCTCAAAAAGTGGGAGGCACATCTGTTGTGATTTGTACACCATTCACCTGATTTGTATGTAAATACCTTCAAATTAAAGCTGAAAGTCTGCATTTGAAGGACATCTTGTTCATTTCATTTCTAATGCATTGTGGTGTTTACAGCCAAAAAGATGAGAATTGTGTCCACGTCCCAACTGAATGAACTGAATGTATGTAAGATTTGTAAGTTTACATAAACATTTTCATGCTTCTGCAATATGAGCTGCAGTGAACAATCGCTGGCATGTCTCTGTATGCAACCCAGACTGTTCTCTTCTTCTTTGCCTAATAAATATCTAAAACCTTGTCAGTCCTGTTGACAAAGACTAGCACAAGCTCTTGGTAAGCAATCACAGAAGAGTTGGATTACAAGGAAAAGCTGACGGGCTTAAGCTCAGTTTCATCCTAGTTTGTTCTTAGCTTTCACTTCTCAGCTACAAGCACAGATTGGGAAGAATCACAATCGGATCATCATACAGGCTACTTGGTGTGTGTGTGTTTTTTTAATCTATTTAAATACAAATTGAAGTTTTGGTTAGTCATTAACGATCTGATTGAAAATAGTCCCATGCAGTACCTACAGTACTTAACATTAGGTTAGAAAGTGTTTTGTTAATGACCAAATCTATCCCTTCCTGCTTTCTGTGAGACAAACAGTAAATCTGCAAAGACAAATAGTTCACATCTTATTAAAGAACACCTAATCTGACAAACATATTTAGGTAAAACTGTTATGTTTGTCCCTTTCTGGACTGTTTTATCAATAAGTTTTTTTTTTTTCAAAAGTGATGCAACATTTCAAATCAGTTAAGTAAAGAAAGTCATTCATATTTTCATCAAATTTAGATGATTTTTTTAAATCATGTTCTTCTTACAATAGTTTCTCCAATGCCTGTGAAATTAAAATGAAAATAGACAGTAGGGTACTTGTCTGCAGACTGATGCTTTCAAGTCAAAAGATGCAGCTACCACTTAATATTAACATTTTACTAAAGAGATACTGTAGTTCAGATGTTTTAAAGTGGGATTCTGAAGGTTTATGAACAATGACTGTCTTACTTTTAAAAGCCTTTACACAGTTGTTAATTGACCATTGTGCAGTTATTCTAGCTGCTGCTGACGCCCCAGCTCTATTTGCATTTGTTGACAGCCATAAAATGATGTGTAAATATCCATGCATAATAACAAAGACAGTAAGGTAAACTTTTTTAAAAATAGCATTTGCTGGATTCTCCATAGGAAATATTTTAGATAAAAGATTTTTTAATTAACAACAGTCTACTATGGTGTTGGTCTTGGTCAGACTAGCCACTAACTCATCAGTCCTGTCAGAATTTCTACTCTTTTAAAGTGACATCACTCAAACACCTATCTGCAGTAAGTAAGATGTCAAATATTCAATGCATCTCCACAGAAACCAAAATGTAATCTGATTTTTTTTTTTGCATTTCTAAATGCAGCTAATCATTAATTAGAGCTGTAGTGAAGATAACTACTTATCATGGACATCATTTTGATAAACAAATCTGACAGGAAGAATGTGGTGAGGTCATGAGAGATACTTTGAACAGGATCAAGTTGTGCAAACTGAAAGATCAGTTTATCACGAATTATTGTGACAGTTTGATGAAGCAATCAGCTGCCTAATTTTTACGATTCTCAAATATTTTTAAGAGCGGTATGTTTGCTGTAAACGTAAGATTCTGCAGAGGTGTAAAACAAAAGTAAAACACTCCTCCGTGGAGGTTTCTGATCACTTTGGATTTTGGATTATTGGGTAGCATCTCCCCTTTAACCAGCAGCACATAATGAAAGCTTACAACTCAGTCTGTTGACTCTGTCAGATCTGGGAATATTAGCAAAGGAAACAAAGTAAAAATAATTCTGCATGTTCCAAAGAAACGTGTCTTGGACGAGCACCTCCAAGTGCAAACACATCTGTGGAGCACGCCCAGCTGGTCGAAGAGGAAGAGAGTTCAATTCTCAGTAACAGCATATAATGTATTTGATCAGGGAGGACACACGGGTTTGTAGAATTCACGCTGAAAGACATGAAACTGGAAGACGATCTGCTTGAGATGCTGTCTATATTTATATACTGTAAAACTGTTTAACTTTAAACAAGGAAATCAAACAAGTGAGAACAGTAGGGTGTCTCTTTTCTGTGGAAAAATGGTACTGGTAATCTTTTTATGTATTAAAACATTATTTTTTAATAATATTTTATCAAGCTTTGCTGTGTTTTAAGAATATTTCCCAGGCAATTCTGCACAAATGCTATTGAAAAAAAGTGGTCAAACTCTTCCTAATTTCCTCTGTTTTTGTAAAAATATTAAACTGAACTGAGACAAATCTTGGAGCAAAACTACATAGAAATTGCCTGAGTAAACCAAAAGTGTGAGTTTTAAAATTATTAAATAGTGTGAATAGTGCTAAAATTACAAATGTGTGGAAAAAAACCCATTAGCAGATGATGGCAAGACCAGTGTCTTATCACTCTGACAAAATTTATTATTTCCTCATCAGTTTTCCCCCGTTTCAGTAAGGTAATGGTAGGTGAATGTGTGCAGATAAGGAAGATTCTCAGGAATATCAACATTTCTCATTTAATAAACCTTTTATTTGCTTTTCATCAGGAATGTTTCTGTTTGCAGATAATTATGCTTTAAAAACTCAAACAGTGAGGGCTTTGATGTATCCTGCAGGTAGCTTTAGTGTCCAGAGCAGACAACCTGTTCTGCAAAAGACTGAAAAAAATATTGAATGAGTGTTACTTTTTACAGGTTCATAAAGTACAACAAGGTTTAATGATAACAATGTTTATCTTTTATTATTATGAGGGTCTAAGAAGAAGAAAGTGATGTTTTAAGGTGAATTTTAAATTTTAAGCTTGAGGCAGCAGAGCATTAAACCCACTGAGCCTTCTAATAAGACTGAAGATTAGAAAAGTTAATCAGAGGTAGTGTAACTGTACATCCAGTAACTATTTTCAGCAAGTTTTGTTAGAATTTGTAAGGTGGTTCCTGAGGTGAATTGGTAACAGACAGACATGAGCAAAAACATTATCCATCGCTTCTCGGCTTTGGCAGCAAAAATAACTCAGGTCTTTGAGTTCCACTTTCTGTTAAACTACCACTAAACTACCACACCTCCAGACCGTGACATGAACATGGTCACATCCCAAATGGTAAAACACTCCTTTCTTGACAATGTTTACAAAAGCACCAACCCATCCATCATCCATCATTCCATCCATCATCCATCCATCTTCCTTTCAGGATTACTGGCTCCCATATCCAGCAGCTCCAAAATAACATTCCTAATTTTTTATCCCTACATGCAACATGAGATGTATCTATGGAAACAAATAAATGGACTGTTTTGTATCAGTTTCATTAACTGCCATAAGGAAGTGTGGCATTGCGTATACCCATGTTAAGCTCTATAAGAATAGAAACAAAAAATAGAGAATATCTTCAAAATAACCACAAAGGACCAAAGTGCACAAACAATAAAAAAGAGAAATACAAAATGAAAGCCATAGCAGCAGGTACACAACAAAAATAAAAAAGATAGATAAAATACATGAAAACATGACATTAAAACAGCACTGAAACAAAAAACTAAACAAAAACTTTTTAATAATGTAAGCGTTACATCTCATTCAGTTAATTCCTTCTTCATCAGAGGTGTCACAGCTGATGAAGTTGGTTGTTTTGTGACTATTTTTTTTCTGTCATCAGCCCCTCTCTATTTAGTTCCTCTGTTGTCATACCTCTTCAGTTGAGCATTGTGTATTCATACCAAGTCTGGTTCCCCTGTGCCTCCCCAAGTTTCCTAGTGCTTCCTTGTGTGCTACATGTGTCTGCTGCACTGATGTCCTTTTGTTTTGCTTAAAAGTAAAATTAGGTTTAGTTTTATTTGAGTGTTAGTCTGCATTTTTTGGCCCAGTCTACCTATAAACTAGAACAAAAGCACAGTTTTCTCTGAGCTTATATTTAGTTTTTGTCTGATCCACTGACATGACTGAAGAGGTGGCTTTACAAGTGTGTAACAATTCAGAAAGATCTGGTGGTACAAGTCCATGGAGGGAGTAGGGGAGCTTACTAAACCCATAATTTCTGTTGTCTTTAATTGAATTAACAAAAAATAAATAAACAAAAAAACTCAGAGCCATCATCAACCATCAGGTTAAATTTTAAATTCTGTCTCAACTCTGCACATAATTATTACATGGTATTATCTCGAACTGACCTGTAAAACTATTTACTCAACGTTGATCTAAAAAAATGTCATCTGACAATTTGTTCAATAGAACTCGCTTACAGAGCAAACTGTTTCTGGCCTAATTCTTGGCATTTCAAAAGTGTCATTTTAAAATGGGGCTTTATGACAAAACCAAATCAGCTTCATCCTTAAATCTGTCGAATGTTAAGATTAAAAACTAACATTTCTGTACATTGCATGCAGCTCAGTCTGAGTTTCGGTAAGCTGCATTCATATTTAACAGGTGTTACGCTGAGTCTGAATTGTTCTTCACTCACATCCTAGAGACGCTTCATGGAGCAATTAGAAAAGGCAAAGCAATCTCAAATTCCTTTTGTCCTTAAGATTCCTTTTGATAACATATAAATGTTCAGATGATTATCTTAGAATTTACTTTAGTGGTTTTGTAAGGCTTTTGGCAAATATTTGATCAATGTTTGGCCCAACCATTTATGGGTTTACTTAACTAAATGTTTACTTGCTGTTAATATCTAAGAAGGCAAAATTCACAGCTCCAATTACTCAATAACAAAAGTATCTGATTCATGTGAAAAAAACACAGGCTCATCTTCTTCTAAAAAATAAAAATAAGGACAATAAAAAATAGTTTTTCCTGTAGCTATCGGGCAGATTTCTGTCTAATTTTAATGCTTACCATAATAAAAGTGTTACAATACCTGAAATGGGAATGTTTCCTGATTAAGACAGATAAAAATGAATTGTGCAATCAATAACCTGTTCATGGGTGTGAGCTTGATGGAGACATACGTCAAAAAAGTCTGACACTCTAAATCTTTTGTTTACTCCTCCTGAACTGCAAACACCTGGGGACTATATCATGAGAGATGTACCGGTAAGCTCCACAATCTGTCACAAGGCAGGAACAACTCAGGACCATGAGAGCAGCCAGGATCCTTGTGGAATGGGTGGTTCCTTGGCTCACCTTCTGCCTCGGACTATCCACAGCCACTAGTACGTAAACTGATGGAAACCTTAACAAGCTGTAATAATAATGTTTTTTTGTTCCCTTGTATTAATTTATTTCTTGTTCTTGCAGGGATGATTCAGAAAGTGAGCCCAATGACAGTTATAACAGGTAATTAGATTTTCATTTTGATTAAAGATAAAAGAACGATGTGAAGATCTCTGTCTAACTGTTACTCCGTCTTCCACCAAACAGAAGCAAGACCTTCTCACAACAACCAGTTCTGCAGCACATGGGGAAATTACCACTTCAAGACGTTTGATGGAGATTTCTTCCAGCTTCCCTCCACTTGCGACTACATCTTTACATCCCAGTGTAAGACCACCTACGAGAGTTTCAACATCCAGATCCAGCGACAGGAGGTGGATGGGGAAGTCCCCATCAAGAGAGTCATGATGAAGCTGGATGGAGTTTTGGTGGAATTGGTCAACTCTTCAGTAAAAGTCAATGATAAACTGTGAGTCCATTGTTCACTGTCTTTTTGTATCCCTAGTTTCTGTAGGCTACTGGTTAGAATGATAAATGTTTGTTTTCCCCAGTGTCTCCTTACCATTCAGCAAGCGTGGCATTTCAATTGAGAAAACATCGTCCTACATTAAGTTGGATGCTAAGCTGGGACTGGTTTTCATGTGGAATCAAGAGGACTCCATCTGGGTAAATTCACTTGTGTTTGTTTTGCCATATGTTGTAGAAAAACCTGACTAAACAAAAAAAAAAAAAGAAAGAAATGCTATACTGACTACGGTTTGAGGGATTAGAAAACTGAATTAAACAACACTATTTTTCTAAATTATTTGTGTCGAATCAGTTGTACTCATAACGATTTACTGCCAAGTTTAGGGATATGTAAATATGCTTAAGTAATTCTGAACAAATGCATGAATCCCAATGATTTGATGCATGAAATAACAGGATATATCTGTCAATCATCAAAAAACTTTACTGAGTTTGACGTACCATAAAATCACATAACAGCTTTTATGGCTTTAAAAACTTGCTTCTGTTCACTTGATAGATTGTTTTTGAAATTAATAACAGGTATAGTTCTTTTGTACCTCATAAGGGACACAATTTGAATTTATTTTGGTGAAATAGTAACAATAAATTAACTTCTAATAACTGATTTTCTAGTCATCTGATTGTTAGTTTGTGTTGAGAAGCATGAATTTATAATGTATTCAGTTAAACTGTGCTTTAAATCCTCATGAGTCATACATTAAGGATTATTTCTTTAGTAAAACATGGTAGCATAATTTTTTACACCGATTTTTATGGACTGAACACAAACATACCACAAATCTTAACTGCATGAATTTCACAGCAGCATGTAAGGGAATGACTGCTTTGTAAATGTTAAAAAAGGTACAATAATTATTGAGAAAGAATTTAATGGAGAATTACAAGAATAAAAACATTGTTTGAGATCTTAATTATTCCCTTTTTGCAAGATTTATTCTGATTTTCTGAACTGCATTTAAGTTTAAACTTTGCAAAACTTTTACTCTTAGGTGGAGCTGGATGCTAAATTTAAGAACCAAACTTGCGGCTTGTGCGGCGACTTCAATGAAATCCAGAAATACAATGAGTTCATCCAGATGGGTAAATACTGAGACTTCGTTTTAGAACTAACTAAATGCACAAATCTGTTATCAGGCTTGCTAAGACAATCCTTTTTTTACAGGGATTCCTGTAAGTCCTGAAATTTTTGCAGAGGCCTTCAAAGTTACTGGTCCTGAAAATGTTTGTAACATAATCACCCCTCAAGCCCCAGCAAATTGTTCAAATCAGGTACATCTGTGAACCAAGAGTTTAAAAAAATACTTCACACGGATCTCTTGGTACAGTTTAGGCATGAATGTGCTTCATCTTACAGATTGACAACGCTGACATCTGCAAGAAGCTGCTGAATGGCCCTGCGTTCTCAAGCTGTTGGGACCTGATTATTACTGATGCTTTCATTGAAGCCTGCACAGCAGACCTTTGCTCCTGTAAAGGCAGCAGCTCATGCTTGTGTTCGACTGTGTCGGAGTACTCCCGGCAGTGCGCTCATGCAGGAGGAAGACCACAGCAGTGGAAGACCGAAAAGCTGTGTGGTAAGAAAATAATAATAATAATAATAGTTTTTAGCAAAAAATTTTCACGGATGTGAAATAATAAAGTTGTTGTTGCTAAATTTTAATAGTGCTTCTTTTGTGCTGAACAGCCAAATCTTGCCCTTTCAACATGGAGTATATGGAATGTGGTAGTTCTTGCATCGACACCTGTAAAAATCACCACAAGAGTCAGATGTGTGATGAGCACTGCATTGATGGCTGCTTCTGCCCAGATGGTACGTTTTAACAGTTAGTTTGTGAAAACCCTTATGTGTACAAATGTGCAGATTCACTGATGGCTTATGGCTGATTATTTCACCACATTTCTCCTAAGGAACCGTCTTTGATGATATCTCCCAAAGTGGATGCGTTGCTCTGAACCAGTGCCCCTGCTATTATGATGGACAGGTTTACCTACCTGGGGAATCATTATCCAAGCCATGTAAAACATGGTAATGTTTTCCAAAAAAAACAACACTTTTTTTAATTCATTGGAATGTGTAATAACTTGATAGGAGATTTAAACTAACTCTCTTTTGTTAGTCACTGTACTGATGGTTCGTGGCAGTGCACAGATAAGGACTGTCCTGGGATCTGTTCCATCCGAGGAGGCTCTCACTTTTCCACCTATGATGATCACCGCTATAATTTCCATGGAGACTGTGTGTATGTTTTGTCCAAGGTAAGTAAATCAAGCCAAAAAATATTAAAACTACCAAATATGTGTATTTTTAAACTGAATTACATTAAATAATAAGAATGTCCTCTTACTCTTAGGCTTCTAACGGGGCTTTTAGTGTGCTTGGTGATTTGGGCAACTGTGATACATCAGACGAATCAACTTGCCTGTCAGGCATCACTGTACTTCAGAATAATACGGTAAAACATGCATCCACTGAAAACAAAGTCAATTATACTGGACTGTTTTTATTTAATGCTCTTTAAATAAAAACAGTCAGAAATCATTTACAATTTTCTCACCACTTCACTTTATTCTGCAGATGATTGAAATCAAAGCCGACGGAAAAATATTTTACAACAATGTGGTCTTTCAACCTCCTCTTTTCATGGGTGAGTAGTTGGTTTTAGTCATCTATGAAAACACATAAATTATGTTTGCCTTAAAGCTGATCATCTACTTTTACTTATTGCTTTTGCAGACGATTTTACAATCTTCAGCCCATCTTCCTTTTTTATTATGCTCCACACCTCCTTCGGATTGAATCTTGAGATTCAGCTTGTGCCCACCATGCAGCTCTACATCAAAGCAGATGTTTCCTTAAAGGGAAGCCTTAAGGGTGTGTTTTACTCTTTAGGGAGCATTAATTAGTAAAAAGAATAACTATAAAGTGTAGTTTTTCATGTTACTTACTCAAAGTGCAATCTCATTCCAGGTCTTTGTGGAGATTTTGATCATAATTCACTCAACGACTTCACAACTACGTATGGACTGATTGAAGGAACGGCAGCAACGTTTGCCAACACGTGGAAGACCAAATCAAGCTGCGAAGACGTAACAAACCAACTTAGTGACCCCTGCTCTTCAAGCATTGGCAAAGGTAGATCACTGGCATCAGGAGTTATTTAATGAAACTTCCCACAATGCTCCAATGATTAAAATCGTCATTTGTTGTTTTTCTGCCTTCATTTTTGTAGAAAGATATGCCAAGATCTGGTGCTCACTCCTGACAAACCCAGATGGAGTTTTTTCAATTTGCCATTCTGTAATAGACCCAAAAGATTTTGAAACTGTAAGCAGTAACTTTATATTTGATTTCCTGTTCATTTTATTTCAGTAAAGTAATTAGTGGTAATTTACTTTATATCTGCTGCATGTTAGTTTTTATTTTTATTTAGCTTGTCATTGTTTATTATTTTGCAGTCTTGCCTTTATGACACTTGTGCATGTGAAAACAGCGAGGATTGCATGTGTGCTGCCTTGTCCTCATACGTCCATGCCTGTGCTGCTAGAAATGTCATGATTGTGGATTGGAGAGAAAATGTCTGCGGTAAGTTTCACATTCAACTACAAAAACTGCTTTTTTTTTGTTAAGGGGTAAATCAGTTTAATTTAGACTGGAGTTTTGGCTGTTTGTATGATTTGTTTTGGGATCATTTTTAGCTCAGAATGGTCTTTCTATATTCTGATGTCTGTAATCTAAATGTTCTCACCACCCACTGACATGTCAGCATTTCTTGTTTCATGTTTGTCATTTTGACAAATATCTTTTAGAAATCAGAATCAGGTTTATTGGCCAAGTATGTTTACACACACAAGGAATTTGCAGTTTAGTACATCTGTCCAGAGAGAAACACACAACATGGGAGAACGAATGTCCACTGTCATTCGCAACAACGTGCGCTACCTCACAGTGTTCAGAATACACGCACATAGGAAGGGTTTGTTAAAAAAAGAACTTTGATCTTGTGTTTAACACACATGAAAACACACAGTCATCATACAAAAAATGACTCTTGCTGATAGAGCAGAAGCAGCAAAGCAGGTAAATCGAGAGAGTGGGGGATTGTAGAGGTGCCGGTGAAATCAAGGGCAAAGTGCCTGGACCGACTGAGACCCCAGAGTTCAACCAGATGTTATCAAACAAACACAATATCTCAGAGTTCAATTCTCTGCTTCAGAGTTCAGTTCCTCTGATCCGGCCTGCGTGGCATCGTCAGGAGCCAGAAAGGAGAGGTGGGGGCAGAGCCTTCGTCAACACATTCAACCAGGAAGAATTTGTCAAACAGATCCAAGGTCGTTGTCAGGGAGATCCAGATTGTGTAATTAGTTGTTTAAGAACAGACAGAGTCAAGCAGACAACAACAATTTTCCATCTGCTTTAGAGTTCCTGCTGGTACTCTCAAGGTCGCGATCCCAATCAGACAAATGGTGGGGGCAAAAATTCTGCCAAGCCGAAAACTATCAGCTTCCTCCAAGATGAATTCCATCTGGCCAGCAAAGTCCAGGGACCACGGCCTACCCGCAACCCTCAATAGAGCTGCTTGCAGACCGAGTCCAGCTCGCTCAAGGCGCAATGTCCGAGTTCTGATAGGATAAGGCCACCCATCGAGTTGGTCAGTCAGCCAGGAGATGAACAGCCACTGACGCTGATTTGCAGAACACCAGGAGACCACTCAGCCAATCTGTAGAATCCAGTGATCGAAGTCCAGACATAAATCCAGAACAGAGAAGAATAAAGGTCCCACCTTTGACATGTCCTCCCATGGAAGAAGAAAAAACTTTGTTCAAAGAATTTTGTTGAGAGACCAGCTAACCAAATCCATAAAAATAAAAATATCCATATCCATATATCCAAATATTACCAATTTAAATAAAAATATCAAAAGTTGTGTTGTCAGGGCCAAAAAAAAGTTATGTATTTATTTTTTTGCACATTATTTCTTCTCTCAACAGACAAATACACACAAAGCTGCTCTTCTAACTTTGTGTATGACTACGACATGAAGAGCTGCGGTCGTACGTGCCGCTCTCTGACTCAGTCGGACCTCACGTGTGGGATTGACTTTACCCCGGTGGACGGCTGCGGCTGTGCTAAAGGAACCTATCTAGATGAGAAAGGAGAGTGTGTGTCAGCCTCACAGTGCTCCTGTTATGTCGGGGCAAATGTGATACGGCCTGGGGTGATCACCAGGGTCCAAGGACAAACATGGTAAAGTTTTGTTTTTACACTTAAACTTATACACTGAGCTGTACCAATCCATCATGGTGAAGCGAAAGCTGAGCCAAAAGGAGAAACTCTCAATTTACTGGTCGGTCTATGTTCCTACCCTCATCTATGGTCACAAGCTTTGGGTAGTGACTGAAAGAACAAGATTGCGGATACAATCGACAGAAATGAGTTTCCTCTGCAGAGTGTCTGGGCTCTCCCTTAGAGATAGGGTGAGAAACTCGGTCATCCGGGAGGGACTCAGAGTAGAGCCGATGCTCCTCCACGTCGAGAGGAGCGAGTTGAGGTGGCTCGGGTATCTGGTTAGGATGCCTCCTGGACGCCTCCCTGCATGTCCCACTGAGAGGAGGCCCAGAGGAAGACCCAGGACACACTGGAGGGACTATGTTCCTCGGCTGGCCTGGGAACGCCTTGGGATTCTCGTGGATGAGCTGGCCCATGTGGCTGGGGAGAGGGAAGTCTGGGTTTCTCTGCTTAGGCTGCTGCCCCCGCGACCTGACCCCGGATAAGCGGAAGAAAACAGACGGATGGATGGATAATTTGACTTAATTGATTTTTCTCACGTTAAATAATTGTATCTTAGGGAATGGTTTATATATGTCGTTAAATACTTTTGTCTGATGATGATTTAACTAAGAAAATATGTATCAGATTTTCCAAATGTCAAAACAAATGCCTGTTAGCAACTGTTTGCTGTATTTTAGACAAAATATCATTGTACTTATAACCTTCTACATACTGCTGTTTTAAGGCATTATGTAGCAAAAAAGATAACTATAGTTTAACCCTCTAAGGTCCAATATGTCATCGACATGACATATTTAAGGTCTACTGCAACAAAAATGGCAGCATGCCGAGTGTTTATTTCAACTGGGTTGGACAGCACAAACTTCAAACTCTATAAAAGTAGCATTTTTATGTTGTTTTTGTTTTTCATTTATTTCCAAATAAAACNAAAATGAGAAGTGGAGACATGGGAATAATGGTAGGGGGGGGGGGGTAGATGGACGGGGTAAGGGATTGTGAAGGAGACGGTGACATCAAGGGCAGGTGCCTGGTCCAACAGAGACCCCCAGAGTTCAACCAGATGTTATCAAACAAACACAATATCTCAGAGTTCAATTCTCTGCTTCAGAGTTCAGTTCCTCTGATCCGGCCTGCGTGGCATCGTCAGGAGCCAGAAAGGAGAGGTGGGGGCAGAGCCTTCGTCAACACATTCAACCAGGAAGAATTTGTCAAACAGATCCAAGGTCGTTGTCAGGGAGATCCAGATTGTGTAATTAGTTGTTTAAGAACAGACAGAGTCAAGCAGACAACAACAATTTTCCATCTGCTTTAGAGTTCCTGCTGGTACTCTCAAGGTCGCGATCCCAATCAGACAAATGGTGGGGGCAAAAATTCTGCCAAGCCGAAAACTATCAGCTTCCTCCAAGATGAATTCCATCTGGCCAGCAAAGTCCAGGGACCACGGCCTACCCGCAACCCTCAATAGAGCTGCTTGCAGACCGAGTCCAGCTCGCTCAAGGCGCAATGTCCGAGTTCTGATAGGATAAGGCCACCCATCGAGTTGGTCAGTCAGCCAGGAGATGAACAGCCACTGACGCTGATTTGCAGAACACCAGGAGACCACTCAGCCAATCTGTAGAATCCAGTGATCGAAGTCCAGACATAAATCCAGAACAGAGAAGAATAAAGGTCCCACCTTTGACATGTCCTCCCATGGAAGAAGAAAAAACTTTGTTCAAAGAATTTTGTTGAGAGACCAGCTAACCAAATCCATAAAAATAAAAATATCCATATCCATATATCCAAATATTACCAATTTAAATAAAAATATCAAAAGTTGTGTTGTCAGGGCCAAAAAAAAGTTATGTATTTATTTTTTTGCACATTATTTCTTCTCTCAACAGACAAATACACACAAAGCTGCTCTTCTAACTTTGTGTATGACTACGACATGAAGAGCTGCGGTCGTACGTGCCGCTCTCTGACTCAGTCGGACCTCACGTGTGGGATTGACTTTACCCCGGTGGACGGCTGCGGCTGTGCTAAAGGAACCTATCTAGATGAGAAAGGAGAGTGTGTGTCAGCCTCACAGTGCTCCTGTTATGTCGGGGCAAATGTGATACGGCCTGGGGTGATCACCAGGGTCCAAGGACAAACATGGTAAAGTTTTGTTTTTACACTTAAACTTATACACTGAGCTGTACCAATCCATCATGGTGAAGCGAAAGCTGAGCCAAAAGGAGAAACTCTCAATTTACTGGTCGGTCTATGTTCCTACCCTCATCTATGGTCACAAGCTTTGGGTAGTGACTGAAAGAACAAGATTGCGGATACAATCGACAGAAATGAGTTTCCTCTGCAGAGTGTCTGGGCTCTCCCTTAGAGATAGGGTGAGAAACTCGGTCATCCGGGAGGGACTCAGAGTAGAGCCGATGCTCCTCCACGTCGAGAGGAGCGAGTTGAGGTGGCTCGGGTATCTGGTTAGGATGCCTCCTGGACGCCTCCCTGCATGTCCCACTGAGAGGAGGCCCAGAGGAAGACCCAGGACACACTGGAGGGACTATGTTCCTCGGCTGGCCTGGGAACGCCTTGGGATTCTCGTGGATGAGCTGGCCCATGTGGCTGGGGAGAGGGAAGTCTGGGTTTCTCTGCTTAGGCTGCTGCCCCCGCGACCTGACCCCGGATAAGCGGAAGAAAACAGACGGATGGATGGATAATTTGACTTAATTGATTTTTCTCACGTTAAATAATTGTATCTTAGGGAATGGTTTATATATGTCGTTAAATACTTTTGTCTGATGATGATTTAACTAAGAAAATATGTATCAGATTTTCCAAATGTCAAAACAAATGCCTGTTAGCAACTGTTTGCTGTATTTTAGACAAAATATCATTGTACTTATAACCTTCTACATACTGCTGTTTTAAGGCATTATGTAGCAAAAAAGATAACTATAGTTTAACCCTCTAAGGTCCAATATGTCATCGACATGACATATTTAAGGTCTACTGCAACAAAAATGGCAGCATGCCGAGTGTTTATTTCAACTGGGTTGGACAGCACAAACTTCAAACTCTATAAAAGTAGCATTTTTATGTTGTTTTTGTTTTTCATTTATTTCCAAATAAAACCAGATTTATGATATATCAATTTTGCCAAAATTTTGTGAGCAGTTTTATGCATTTGCTGTGCATTCAGTGAACGTTCTGTAACCAGGAAGTGCTTGAATGCAACATGACACCAATTCGTCTGATTTCCTGAAATGCACATTTCCAAAGCAACCAATAAAAAAAACGTTTGTCGGTTGGCTTGTGGAGAGCGTGAAAGTGTGTTTTTGAGACAGGAGAACGAAGCGTAGTCAACATGTTGGTTGTGCTGAAAATAATGATACCAAACAAGGCAAGGTAAAAATTGTTTTTAAGATGAAAATATAAGGGTAAAATCAAAATTTGCCAAAATGGCCAATAAAACCCCAGACCTTATGGGTTACAGCATAAAGTATTTTTAGGATTTGATCAATGCTTAGAGAAAAAATAGTGACTTCTTTCATTCTTTCAAATTTGTTCATTCCATTTTCCTTACGCATGTTTATTTTATTCATTTCAGCTCCTGTCAAAGTGGAATATTAATGTGTGTAGGACAACCAATACCTCAATGTAGGTACAGTATTAATAATATAAAGCAGTGCTGCTTATGCCAGCCCATTGTAACACTGTGTTACTGTCAACAGCATGCACCCTTCCGATGGTTTTCTACAACTGCTCGAATTCAAAGCCAGGTGAAAAAGGATCTGAGTGTCAAAAGAGCTGCCAGACAGTGGACTCAGAATGTGTAAGACAACTTCTAAACACACCACGTTTACTAATTGAAGCAACAAAGCTGCATAATAAAAATAATAATAATTTACTACATAGGTGAGTGCTCAATGCGTCTCTGGCTGCGTGTGTCCTGATGGCCTGCTGTCAGATGGGAAAGGAGGCTGTGTGAAGGAGGAACAGTGCACTTGCCGACATGATGGAAAATTCTATGAACCGGGAAGCAAGATCACAGTGGACTGTAACACATGGTGAGCTTTAATGCTGTCATCTGTCAGGTAGCATTTTATTATGACCTTCTACAGGATATACCCTCCCCGTGACTCTTCAGTTTGTTGTTTGGACACATGCCAGTAATAACTGATATAATTGTTCCAAATCTTAGCACATGCAAAGGAAGAAGATGGGATTGCACAGAGAATGACTGTGGTGCAACCTGCACTCTATATGGAGAGGGCAATTACATGACCTTTGATGGACGAAATTATGCCTTCAAAGGGGCTTGTGGTTACATCTTCTCTCAGGTAATCTGTAATCATGGCCAGCTGTTGTGTTTGATCAGTGTCACTTTTGAAATGCTAACAAAAAAATCCTGTAGGATTACTGTGATGGCGACAAAGGCACTTTCAGGGTCCTGACGGAAAACATCCCCTGTGCTGCAAGTGAAAGCATTTGTTCCACCAACATCAAACTCTACTTGGGGGTATGTAACATAAAAAAGAAGTGAATTCACAAAATCAGCTTTAAGACCACAGTTATCATTACACTGTTAAAAAATGATCAGTGAATAGGCTAAAAAAATCTAATCCTGATAAGTTTTTTAGTGATGCATTTTGTAATAGATTCATTCAGTAATCTAAATTTTGCCATTTGTAAAGAACCAGCACCTGTCAGCTTCAATTTTATATTCCATGTTGTGTAAAAATATATCAAAGTAAATATATGTGGCCTTTTTTATTTCAGAGTAATGAATTAGTTCTGTCAGATGAACAAATCAGAGTTTTGAATCAAAGCCAAGGCGAGGACATACCCTTCAAAGTCCACACTATGGGTTTATATGTTGTGATTGAGGCAAGTAACGGCCTCATCCTCATTTGGAATAAGAAGACAACACTGATGATCAAACTCAGCTCATCATTCAAGGTAAGTTAATGCATATACAGGTTTTCAGATAAATGTTTGTCTTTCTTTTGACAAATAAACACTTCATTTTAGGGCAAAGTCTGTGGCTTGTGTGGGAACTATGACGGAAATAGGAATGACTTTATCTCCAGTGATAAAAGTTTAGTAACTAGCGCACTTGACTTTGGAAACAGCTGGAAAGTGTCGTCAACCTGCCCAGATGTGAACACAACACAAAATCCCTGCAGTTTGTACTCCCACAGACAAGCATGGGCTTCCAAACACTGCAGCATCATTAAAAGTGAAGTGTTCTCTGCCTGCCACTCAAGTGTAAGAAAGTCAAGTCGTACAAACTTTGCGTCAACACTTTTATTTTAATGCAGTTAAACGCTGCAAAATATATTTTGCTTTGTCTTTGTTGCATTTACGATTACTTCTTTCAAAAGGTGGATCCACAATCCTATTATGATTCTTGTCTAAAAGATACATGTGCTTGCAACTCGGGGGGAGATTGTGAGTGTTTCTGCTCAGCTGTTGCAGCCTATGCAGCAGCATGTAATAAAGCTGAAATCTGCATTAAATGGAGAACTCCCACCATCTGCCGTAAGTCACTGTTTTACTGTTTTTGAGAACATGTTTTTTTTTCAGAAGATATTGATTGATTGCTGTTGGAGTCTCAAAAATTTAAAAATGAGCTTTTGAAAACTGCATATGAAACAACTGATATATCATCATCATCATCATCACCTTATTGTCCCCTTAGAGAAATTTTCCTTGCAGCAAGGTGAAGAAATTCTAACAAATCACCGAAGACAACAATCCCAATAATATACTATGACCTTACCAACAAAAAACACTTACAGTAAAACACTTTAGACAAAATCAATAAAACAGGCTTAATGATGAAATTAAGCTTGATTACCTTTAAGGGCCGATATTATGTGTTTCTCAGGCATATATTCAAATACTATACATTAATAAAGTATCTATGT